TTTTGAGAGAGAGAAAGAGACCACTTTTATTACAGTATATTGTTTTAATTGTACTATTTTATTATTAGTTATTAATCTCTTACTGTGCCTAATTTATAAATTATCCTTTATCATAAATATGTATATATATGAAAAATCATAGTATATCTAGGGTTCAGTACTCTCCACAGTTTCAGATATCCACTAGGGGTTTTGAAATGTATCCACTTCAAATAACAGGGAATACTGTACTTTCTGCAGTAATTTTGAAGAAAAATCAGTTGTGGAACTGATTTTTAAAAGACTGCTTTCTTTAAAAAAGAGAACAGAAAGCAATCAATTTAAGCTGAGTTTTTTTCCCCCCATTGTAGTGAGAAATGTAAAGCATTCAACTCAGGTCTCTTAAAAATTAAGAAAAGGAACCATAAAATGTCCCATATTAAAACAATTTTTAGCTGTACATTATATATTTGTCTCAGATTAAGATCAGCAGATATACAAGGGAAGGGAGGAGTGAAGCAAGAAGCAGAAAAGTAAGAGAGAAAAGGCTAAGAAACAAACCAAAACACAGACGATACAAGGAGTGAAAGAAAGAAAAACCAGAAGAGGGTTGGAAGACAGGATAATATTTAGGAACGAAGAGAAAGGATGACAGGACTGTGTAGCTTTTGCACTTAAGCACAGCTTCTCATTACTTTTATCATCTTTGTTTGAAGTCTTACTCTCCACCTATGAACTACACGCTCCGTAAGCATGAGAATTGTGCTGGATTTTGCTTACTATTGTTTTCCCAGTGCCTAACAGAGACATAGTAAACACAGCAAGGATTATTAAGTGAATGGATGAACAAAGAAACAAACGAAAAAAGAGAGTGTAGGGAAAGGGAATTCTGTGGCTCAAATGGCACCAGCTATGGTCCACTGAGAGCTACCATTGTTTCCTCAAAAGCAAGAGGCCATGGACTTGGCTTATCCTGGCCCCTGAGATGCTTGCAATAGTGTTTATTTGGAGGCAGCTTTACAAACGCTCACACATTATCTGTGAGAGTTGCAGTCTACTGTTAGAACAAGGTTTTGCATCTGTTTCTTTCGGAAACTTTTTGAAGGTTGATGTTTTCACCATCCCTCCCGTTCCTGGTACCTTCTTACCCCAAGCCCAGTCGGTGATGCTCCCAAATCCTCCTGTCCCAACAGCCCCTCTGGAATCCTTGTCCTGTTGTATGTTGAAAAAATCTCTCCCAGAACGCTGCTTTCTTGGCTCTCCCAAGAGGAGCCCTGTCTTAGTCCGTTTTGTGTTGCTGTAACAGAATACATGAGACTGGGTGATTTATAATGAACAGAAATTTATTGGCTCACAGTTCTGGAGGCTGAGAAGTCTATTTTCAAAGTGCCCTCATCTGGTGAGGGCCTTCTTGCTGCGTAATCACAGAATAGAAGGTGAGGGGGTGAGAGAAAGAGAGGACCGAACTTGCCCTTTTGTTACAGCACCAATCATCACCCCCATGAGGTGGAAGTTCACACATTAGCCTCATGGTCTAATCACTTCCTGAAGGTCCCACATCTTAATACTGTTACAATGCCAATCAAATTTAAAAATTAAATTGAATTTTGGAGCGGACAAGCATTCAAACCATGGCAAGCCCCGTCTCCTTTAGCTCCTTGGTGGTAACTGCCTATTTTTCCCAACCTGTCTGTATTAAGAGCCCTAGAAAAGGGTCAGCACTCTGGGCTCCTCATCACCAAGAAATCAACATACCTCAAACCTCCCATAAAAATGCACTTTTCTAGTCCTTCCCATCCTATCCTTTAATACCTCCTGGTCACTCTTGTTCATTCATACAGATTTTAGCCCTTGGCCACCCACAGCCTCCTCATCTACCCCGACTACTGACCTGCAGGATGACTTCAGGAGTTTTGTGCACAATTCATCTAAAAATTAGCCTCTGCAAATTCTGTGATTTTTTTTAATGGCGGTAAAATATATATAACACACGATTTGCCATCTTACCATTGAAGTGTACAGTTTTGTGGCATGAGGCGCATTCACACTGCTCTGCAACCATCACTAATCTATCTCCAGAAATTTCTTATCTTCTCCAGCTAATAGTCTGTATCCGTTAAACACTAACTTCCCAAGTTCAGTGATACTTACTTTTACCAGGCTTAAGGCACTCTCACCTCAAAATTTTTCATTTCATTAAGTTGTTTTACCTTCAGAATTTTAAATTTTGTTATTTTACTTTCTGTCCACAATCTCCTGTCTTGCCAACAGACCTTGGTGCAGACAGATCTGAGTTGGGATCCCAGCTAATCCAGTTACCAGCTTCATTTCTTAATCTGTTTTGTGTTGCTGTGAAGAAATATCTGGGACTGGGTAATTTATAAAGAAAAGAAAGTTATTTAGGGAATGGTTCTGAAGGCTACACCAGAAGCACGGTGCCAGCATCTGCTTGGTTTCTGGTGAAGGCTTTTGTGCTGCATCAAAATATGGCAGAGAAGGGCCAAAGGGGAAGTGGGCATATGCAAAAAGACACCAAACCCTAGGGGCACCCTGGCTTGTAACATCGCACTCTCACGGGAACTAATCCATTCCCCCGAGAACTCATCGAGGCTCCTAAGAGGGAGAACTCACCGGACACGGTGGCTCACGCCTGTAATCCCAGAACTTTGGGAAGCCGAGGCAGGTGGATCACCTGAGGTCGCAAGTTCGAGACCAGCCTGACCAACATGAAGAAACCCCGTCTCTACTAAAAATACAAAATTAGCCAGGTGTGGTGGCGCATGCCTGTAATCCCAACTACTCAGGAGGCTGAGGCAGGAGAATCGCTTGAACCCAGGAGGTGGAGGTTGTGGTGAGCGGAGATTGCACCATTGCACTCCAGCTGGACAACAACAAGACTGAAACTCAGTCTTAAAAAAAAACAGTGATAGCTCACTTACTACTGTGAGAATGGCACCAAACCAATTCCTGAGGGATCTGCCCCCATGACCCAAATACCTCTCATTCGGCCCACTTCCAACACTGGAGATCAAATTTCAACAGGAGGTTTGGAGAACACAGACAAACCATATCTGAACCATGGCACCTCACTTTCTTCAGTTGTGAAATTCACATAATAGGTAATGTAAATTAATTTTAAATTCACACATTAATGTGTGAACTCCCTTAAACCTTGATCTTTCTGATGCTCATCCCAGGGAGACACAGCATGCTGTATTAGTCGAGCTTTCTATCTCATCTGCGCATCCATCTGGGCTGTGGGTGAGCAGCTGGACCAGCCACACTACCGTGCAAGCATTTCTTGGGTCCCTGTTAGGTTTCCTCTGCTCTTCCCCCACAGGCCTATTTCAGATCTTTCCCCTTTGCTCCATCTCCCTACCCAGCCAGTCTTCCCTGTTTCTATAAACCAGAGTCCTTAACACTTTAATGATATTAGAACCACACACATTCCCTGAGGTCCTGATTTGGTAAGAGGTGGTGGGGTGGGAATCTGCAGTTTTCAAAAGCAACCAGGGGATTTCGGTACACACAGTGTGCAGCCCACTGTTTGTGGAGGGCTGTCCTGAGCCATAAGCTCCTTGAGAGCAGACACACAGCCTTATCTGACTTTCACCCCTAAATACCTAACAATAGATGCTGAAGGATTGATTGAATGAATGAATCTGTCACTCTGCACTTCAGAGTAAGTTACTGTTCGCCTTTGAAATGCTAATTAGCTACAGCTGTTTAAATGCAGTTTAAAACTCTTCAATATGTTTTATCTTTAGTTCTTTATCAGCCCTTTTCACTGCCATTGGGGGCAGGGAACTATAAAGAACTTGTTATTCTCTGCCTAGCAACAACAACAAAAAGCCAACTCAAGGGCCAGGTAAGATTGAGCCTGCAGTCTAGAGATACACAAATTGGGCCTTGCCACTGTCACTTAGGGAAGAACACTGATGACTCTCATTCTAGGGATTCCACAGGCAGAGGCTGTTGTAGCCATTTCAGTGGACTTTTCTGGAATGGAAAGAGTTTCAAGCACGATGCTCACTGCTAGGGATGTTGGGAGAAGGTGATTTAGAGAAATAGGTGGGTAGACAGAGACAAAGACTGGCACACCCCATCAATGCTGCAGAGGCTTCAAATCCCAGCTTGGCCATTTACTAGCTTGTGACAAGTGTAATGAAACTTAGAACCTCTTGTTTCCTTATGTGTAAAATGGATACCACATGATTTACCTTGCGGAGCTTTGGGGAGGATGGAAAAATGTCATATAAGTAATATATAGTGATTCTATGATGTTAGACAATCGAGCAGTGTCTTGAAGAAAGCATCTGTCAGTCTCTACCACGATTGGAGGGAAAACACACACACACACACAACACCTACACCCAGGCTGCCTACAGAAACAGAAGTGGAACCAGCTATTGCCCTGTGGGGAAGTCTAACTCTCACCCATTGCAATAAAATATTTCCAAAGGGAGCAGACAGAGTAACCTCGGGCCATGCCCTCCCACTTCCCTCTTCCTCAAGTGGAGCTCGGAGGGAGGCAGAGCTGGTGGGGAGCCTTTATAGAGGAAGTGGGAGGTAAAGTAGTGTGGGTGGCTGAGGCTGAAACATTTCTTTCACCACCTTCCTATACCGTCCCCTGCCTTCTCTTCTGTGCCAGGGGGAAAGAGAAACAGTGCATGCCTATGCTGTACCCACACACACTTGGATCTGCTCCCCCAGCCTCCAGATCTCACCTCATCATTCGTCATCATTCACTGAATGCCTGTAGCCCTCACGGTGCTTTCTAAATGCCTCAGCTGGAACCTCCCTGGGAGCCCGTATAAAGTTTGCTTCAATATTTGGGGTCTTCCCCCAGCCCATGAAGACCAGCGTCTAAGCCCTACTTCAGCCCTTCCCTGTGCCTGGTTTTCTCTCTCCAATTTAAGTGCTAAGAGACTTTGGTTTATATGTTAATAATAATAAACAGCTATAGACGTTCTCCCCTTCCATACTTATTCCCTTATTCCCACACATTTATTTACTTTCAGGAGAAGAATTTGGATTGGTTTCCTCGGATGCGAGCCATGTCCCTCGTTAGCAATGAAGGCGACAGTGAGCAAAATGAAATTCGGAACCTTCAGGAGAAGTTGGAATCGACCATGAGTCTAGTCAAACAGCTGTCGGGTCAGCTGGCAGAGCTCAAGGAACAGGTGGGTGCATTCAGGGAGATGGTGCTGGGTGGGATAAAATCATTCACCACCTCCGGTGAGGGGAGACAGAGGGTCCAGGGAGCCAGGTCATTAGCCATAGAGGATTGCAAACTCCAAGAAAGAAACCTCACATCGTACTGTAGAAGTGCATCCCAGTAAACGAGGACTTCCACTTATCCCATCTCCCTGAGCCTTGTGCGACACTTCTCCTTCTGTGGAAGGGGGAAAGGAGAAAATGCCAAACTACAAGCACCTCTTTGCATTTAAAAAAAAAAAAATCATTTTCTGCCATGATAGTAATTACTAAGCCCATGGGAAAGGCAGATCCTCATTAGTATCTGCCATTTCAATGCTATAATCAACCCCTTTATCATATAAAATTGTTAGTATTAGTAAAAATATCAACAGTAACCATGGTAGCTATTAAAATGACTGTGGTGATGGTGACAGCTATGTGACAGGCAAGATCTATTTTCTAAAATGGCTCCTGCTTCCTAACCACAAAGAGGGGTTTGCTCTTTTTCTCTGATTATGGAAATTCACTTTTTTTAAAAGAATCCCTTTTTTGATAAATATATTCTATATGATGCTGGACAGTAGGTAGTTGGGGAATATTAACTCAAAACGGTTGTGGCCCACCAGCACTGGGTAAGAGCGAGAAAATCCGCTGAACACACGCTCTCTCTTTTCCCCCAGATGACAGAACAAAGGAAGAATAAGCAGAGACTGGGCTTCCTCGGATCAAACACACCCCATGTGAATCATCACATGCCACCACACTGATACCATGGGGGGAAGCCGTGACTAGCCTTTCATCAGTGTCCTGCCTGATCACTGAATAAAGAACTGAGATGGAGGGGAGTGAACAGTGCCTATTGTTGAAAAGTTAAAAACAACCAAGTGCCAAGATGTTGAGTGGGTTAGCTCCGAGAACAATTTATAACTGTGTTTTCATGGTTGCGAAGACCTAACCTCAAATGCATCTGCTAGAAAGCGTACATCACACATTCGCAATGCAACAGGAAGAAAAGGCTTGCCCAAAAGGCTGGAGAGGGCAGGGAGCGGCAGGGTGGAAGGAGACACGGGGCAGAGAGAACTATCTTCTGCTAAATCGATAGGAGTCAGTTTTGTCTTAAATGCTGACTACAGCCACTGACATGGTTGGCTGGAATTTCTTTCTTTTAATTGTGGCATATAGGTTCGTGATACAAGAAGTCATACTTTGGTGGCTAAGTTTTCCTAAGGAAAATAACTGAAAAGATGAAAAGTGAGAGTTGAAAAGAGAAATGATAATGCTTCCAAACTGTAGCTGTCACAGGGCAATTTCTTTATTTATAACATGAAGCACAATGGATTTACAGCTCTAGGAACTTAGTACTTTGGAGCTTTTGCCTCTCATGCTGACAACATAACAGAATGTGATTGCCTTCTCCGGATTCAGACAGGCTCTGTCAATGTGGAGCACAAAAGGAGATTTTCGTATAACTTGTTGAAAACATGCTCTAAGTCATGTATAGGCTAAGATTTTTAAAAGATCTGGGGGAATAAAAAGCCAACAGTAAACCCCAGGAAAGGGTTTTTAGAGACCGTGTGTATACTATTAAAATATATTGAGATTAATACATGAACATGCTTAAAGGTGATAGGAATTACTGAGAAACTTATGGTGGTGGCATTGCCTTTTATAAACCTGGGGTGAAAGCTATTTGACTCATGTTTGCTGTGCTTAAAGAACTGCTTCAGGAACTGAGCGTTTTTATTTATGGTATTCCTGCAGTTAGGGAAAAAAAAATGCAAGAAATGTATTGAATACTCAAGAAAATGCCGCATTTCAATTACGTATTTAAAACTGTATCTGAAAGGGCTTTTCAAAATGTAGAAAGACAAAAACCTCTTATTCGAATTGTTTTTATGTTAAATCATGCACTCAGAATTTGTGGAGGGAGAGAACCTGGCATGTTCAGGTTATTCTTAGAGACTACACGTTTGGAATAACAGAGCAAAATGTGGATAATTAAAGTGTTAGGAAAAGAAGCGGTGTGTTGGGACCCAGAGCAATGAATTTTTGAACTGAAGCTACTGGTACTCCCCAGCACCACCTCATACTAAGAATTCCTCACTCTGACATGGTAGTATTTTTTCTGACCAGGAGCTGAAAGACCCTGACATTCGTGATCCAAAGATATAAGAAAGTTTGATATGTCTGCATGCAGCACAGAACTTTGAACCTAACAGGCACTCAATAAATACATGAGAAATTTAGCTGTCATTCAGTTACTCTTAATTCTTTATAAAACTTTAAGCGATAGCACATATTTGTTTGTTTTAAATGGCTTTCCCAAAATCAAAGTAGACTAAAGCAGCCATCTTTAAAATCCAGGATCATCAATGCTATTAACATTATCAGGTTAAAAGTACACTTTAAAATATTTTAATCAGGCAGAGTTTTATGGATAGAGAATAGAAGAGAAAGGTGGTAAATACTGAACATATTCCAATATAGGAACCTATCTCTATTTTAGTACAAAATAAAATATTTCTGACATCTGAACTAGAGGTCAAGAGAATAAATTCATTTGTACACATCTGAGCAACCTGTCTTTCAGATGATAAAGTATCTAGCCTTTTCTGACACCATAATAGTTCATTTTGTAGGGAATAAGCCATTAGGTGTATATAATTGCTATCTAGAAATGACCTAATGTCCCCAACCACTGTGTAGTGGCAGATCACTGTTTCATAGCATATTTTCTCCTAAGGAAAGTATTCAAAAGAGACTGCAACTAACAAAACTCTTATTTCGTCAAAATTTAAATATTTCTTAGTTGTATTTTTAATGCCTCTTTCTTTTCCGCCTAAATGCTTAGAAAAGGCACTTTTCAGAACATCAAATTCCTAATGGAGAAGATAATGGGGAAATTTGACATTTGATATACATTTATATTTGTTATGTGTATGTTTATTAATGCAACTGGAATATTTGACCTAGGTAAGTATCAGTTAACATCCTTGTATTTATATAGTGACATCAAAATAAATGCAATCATCTTGGACTTTGATGTTAAGGGAGATTTTGAAAAAATATTTAGTTATTTAAAATCCATATTGGTTCAAAAATATTAGTTTCTGCTGAATAATATTTTTAATTTCAAAAGGGTTTTGTTCCCTCTGTACTCCATTCTGAGGCTCAAGAGCTTAATGCAAGTATGTTTTCTGAGTTAACACTTTTAGATGAGAAAATGCTTGTATCATATAGGACTATAATATAAATAAATAATTTATATGTATGCAAAATATATTTTCTACCCCTTAAAAAGTTAAATTAGAAATGAGCTTATTTTCTTACACATCAACATTTTTCTGTTGGTAAAGAGGACACAATTTCTAGGGATTGTTAATAATATCAGGAAGATATTTCATTCATCAGAACTAATTGTGTGCTTCTTCCCATATTCTCAGCTCATAACTCCCTGTTTTGGCTGCTCTTTATTTTACAATTGTATTATTGCAAACAGCAAGCCAGTATGGCCCACACTCAGCCCCCAGCCCCCAGCCCCCAGGACTGAGAATGAGTGGGGAGGCTGGGGAGTTGGTGAGAGAAGGTGGAGATAGGGATTTCTGCTTCCCAGTACTCTTATCATTAGAGAAAAGGAGGGGTAAATATTACCTAATAAGAAGAAAAAAGCTTATTCTTCAGGGACCCAGTAGATTGGATATAAGCAAGTAAATATTGCACAGGCATCATGATATAACAGTTGATGGACCCCAGAGATACCCCTTACCCATGCAGAGAACAAAGCTGTGTGGAAGAGCAACTGCCATAAGATGGTGTGTTCCCTCCAGTGGCTGTTAAAGCTATCCTGAATCACAAATCAGCGGTTTCGACCTACAGACCCATTCCAATATGCTGTGATACACAACACGGTGCACCGCAGAGGAGACAGACATCTTCAGCACAAACACAGATGCCTGCAGGAGCTTGGCAAGTCACTAAATTGCATGAAATTGTGAGGTGCACACCAAATGCAGGGATGGGGAAGGCCATGGGAAGCTCTGTATTCTCAAAATTTGACAGCTAGTTCTGGTTTTTAGAAAATGCCTGAGGCCAGTAGAGGCCCTGTAGTCACTCATTGCTGCTGTTTCTGATATAATTATTGAGAAAGCTATCTCATTTAATAGAAGAAAACATGCACCATCAAAACCAGAGAGCCTAACGTGCATGTGAAAATCGAGAAATCTGAAAACAAATCCAGGTACCCTTCTCTGAACTGGAGTGTTTCCACAGACTTGAATAATTTATGAAATTATCACACCAGTACTTCTCATATCACCAAGAAGACTTTCTATCCTGCTGTAGAGGGTTACTATATTTGCCTAAAAACACAATTCCAATATATGTCAAGGGCAGATAATTTATGAGTAAATGTTAATAAAATTGGATGTGTATAACTTTTTTGTTTGCAATACTTTAAAGTGTTTATTTCTAAGTAATAATATTTCTAAGTAATATCTGCATTGGTATGAAAAGACATTATGATTGCTATTTTACAGAGCAAGACATTAGTTACAAAAAGTTTGGTGACTTGAATCACACCGATGAGCTAATCCAGATGGACTAGTGTCCCTGAGGCTTATTGGGATTTGGCCAGTTCCCCAGTGTACCAGCTCGTACTGATGCATCACATGGTGTCTGATGGCCTGCTTGAGCTCAGTGGGCACAGACCATTGGGTGGCTTAGGATTTCCTGATTCTTAACACGCACAGCTTTAAATGATACTTCCCCTCAGAAGAGAACCGAGTGTGCAACAGCTGAAGTCAACATGGGTGGCACAAATCACATGCACTCTAGAAATAGAATTCTTTACTCATATGGGTATTTTCCAGTGTGCCACAGTTCCTTGAAGTAGTGTGGAAACATTTGTTTGTTTTGTTTGTAATCAGAGGAAAGGTTGGGGGAGGGCAATTGGACAGGGAGTTCCTCTTCTGGTGAGAGTAATTGGCACGAAGAGCGGGCAGTAGTGTGCATGTGGGGGCAGTGTGGTGGAAGTCCGCAAGTCACCCTTCCTTTACCTGGTCAACTGGGGTGCTTTGAGGAAGTCCTAGGAAGATCTAATGTTCAGAGAACAACTCCAGGCCAGAATGTGTGTACTTCAGCCTCACCTATGTTCCTCACCCACTTCAGAGGTGCTGGCACCTCACACAGAGCCACGTGGCAAACAAAAACAGACACCAAATATGATGCTGGGAGAAAAATGTATAGAAACAGAGATACGTTGTTAAACTCAGTTTGACTCTGTTTCACAGAAAGTGATGGCTTTTACTGCCTCAGTGTGGGTTTCCCCCCAGATTAGCCTGTTCCCCTTTAACTCTGGTCCTTGGGGCAAGATCAGCTCCAGGGAGAGTGGCCGTACTCACAGCTGTGGGAATGTGGCCACAGGCATGGACTTCCTCTACGATCCACCCCAGACATCCGTGCAAAGCTCCCCTCCCCTCAGGTCTACTTGCATAGGACAGAGCTGCTTCGAAGGCTGCTCCCTGCTCTAATGACTGTGCTTTCTGGTTTTTCAGTAATAATTATCTTCACTTTGGACAATTATATCCTCCTTTCTCTATACCATAACCCACTCCCTCTTCTCCTTTTACATGGGTCAGGTGTATCTTTGTGATCTTGGCCTTCTAAGCAGTAAATTCAAATAAAAAGTCTGTAACCACAATACCTTAAAATTAGGCCCTGCAGTATTAAAAATATGAATGTACAACTATCAATTAGGGTTTCTCAGGGAAACAAAATAGGTATTGGTATCATGGGCTGAAGATTTTATTTTAGGCATTAGATACCATGCAGTTACGGTAAAGAACTCTCCGGAAGGCTAATGCTTCTGTGTCTCGTGGTGGGCCTGAAGTCACTATGAGTCAGTGGGGCTGGCAGTCAGGAAGGAAAGCTGGGTATGAAGCAGGAGAGAGCAAGGACAAGCTGGAACGCATGAAGACAAACCAAAATTTGCATCTAGCTCTCACCACCTCCAAACTCCATAGTGTGGATGACCTAAAAACAAAGCTGGCACCCTTCCTCATGGAATTGCATGTGCAACTGGCCCAGGACTCAGACAAGCTGAAGGAAGAGATCTCATGTGAGCTGGAGGACTGTGGGCTAGCTACTGCCCACACCGACAGAGTGAGCCAGGAGATGAGGCTGGGTGTTGCAGCGGCA